GTGCTGCTACTATTCAAAATTTGCAAATGTGTTGTATAAGACATCCCCGCTGAGTCCTATGGTTCCTCTTACGCACCCCTACGCCAGTGCAGAATGCAGCGTGAAGTAGGGGCTGGCAGGAGGAACTAGTTGAATAGCAGCAGCACCTGAAGCTCTTGAATGAGCAAAAATGTCTCACGCTGGTATGGAAGTATCTAGCCGCTTATTGCAGTTAATACTTTAAAATGTCCTCCTCCACCTTCCCGGGACAGTAGTATGTAGATATGCTGGGCTGGTGGCGAGACTTTACCATCCAGACATCAGTCAGAGTGGGACTCGCAATCAGTGCCCAATGCTACCTGGCCGTGGCCCCTGGGCAAATACTAAGATGATATGGAAGAATGGTGGCCCTTAGTGGACAGACTTCACCATCCAGACATTGATCAGAGTGGGACTTGCAGTCAGAGACACATGCTGCCTGCCAGTGGTCCCTTGGCCAATACTAAGAAGATATATTGGACTGGTGGCCATGAGTGGAGAGACTTCACCATTTAGACATTGATCAGAGTGGGACTCCCAATCAGTGACAGATTCTACCTGTTCTTGGTCTGGCATATTGAAGTCTTTCACTACCAACTTCCAATGTGGCTCTCAGATGTCCTCTGAATGAATAAAGCTGATGTTTGGAAGACCTGGAAAGATGTGTCACAATAATTCATGATCTTTATGAACGCTCATCTTTTACCAAGCCTGCCAATCAACGTGGTACTCTGGCACACTTTGCATTCTTCATCATTCAGACATTGATCAGAGTGGGACTCCCAATCAGTGACAGATTCTACCTGTTCTTGGTCTGGCATATTGAAGTCTTTCACCACCAACTTCCAATGTGGCTCTCAGATGTCCTCTGAATGAATAAAGCTGATGTTTGGAAGACCTGGAAAGATGTGTCACAATAATTCATGATCTTTATGAACGCTCATCTTTTACCAAGCCTGCCAATCAACGTGGTACTCTGGCACACTTTGCATTCTTCATCATTCAGACATTGATCAGAGTGGGACTCGCAGTCAGTGACGCATGCTACTTGACAGTGGCCCCTGGGCCAGTACTAAGAAGATATGTTGGGCTGGTGGCCCGAAGTGGAGAGACTTCACCATTCAGACATCAATCGGAGTGGGACTCAATCACTGACGCATGCTACCTGCTGGTGGCCCCTTGGCCAATGCTAAGATTTGTTGCCCTGGTGGCCCTGAGTGGAGAGAATTCCCCATTCATAGATAAGAGTGGGACTCGCAGTCAGAGATATATGCTACCTGGCAGTAGCCCCTGGGCCAGTACTAAGAAGATATGTTGGGCTGGTGGCCCAGAGTGCAGAGACCTTACCATTAAGACATTAGAGTGGGACCCTCAATCGGTGACACATGCTACCTGCTCCCTGTCTGGCAGATTGGAGTCTTCCGTCACGAGTTTCCTTTGCGGCTCTCAAATGTCATGTAAGTGAACAAAGTTGATGTTGGAAGACATGAAAAGGTGTCACCATAAGTCACGTCCCTCAGGAACACCTACCTTTCACCATCCACACCAGTGTGCCACCATGGTACACTTTGCAAGGTACACCTTCTCTAGCCCAAGAAAGTTTGTGTATGCCCCTCAGACCTAAAGTTCTCAGTCCTCCTCTGATGTAATCATTCTTGATCTGCATTTGGATTTCAAGTCATAACCTCAGGAAAGAACTGCAGCCAAAAGATTTCAGCCAGGCAGCTAGTACTGTCAGAGGTAGCTCAGCAATGAAAACCTACGTGGCCCTTACGGTTTTCTTTAGTACTATTTCAAGCAGAATTCCACCTTTTAACATCCTGTTCCAGGTTTTACCCATATTCAGGTGTAACATGGAAAATGGTGCCATTCTACAGCCCCCCAATCCTCAACCCACCCCCACTTATCTGAATCGCGGGCTGCTTCTCCCCATCTGCCCACCGCAGCAGTAGTTCTCAATGGAGTACATGTGGTGACATCACTGCACTTGTAGTCCATTGCTCGCTTCCTCCAGCTACATAGCCAATAGTCCATGCAGGGACTGGAGTAATAGTCTGCAGGAGGCTGTACATTGCACTCGCAATCCACTGATCACGGTTGAAATGCCTTGAGGGCTCCAATGCAAAAGAATGAATAAATACACAATAATTCCTTTCATCAGAATCCGCCAACATCCCGTTTTGGGCGGAGTGATGCTCTAAGTTGAAGTACAAAGCTCTGTGATGACTGTTCTGCGGTTGCTTTGTACGAGGTTCCATTAGGATCTCTATCCCATTCCATATTCATGAGATGAGTCTGGTTTTAATTCGGCAGCCACATTTAAGCTGTGAAAGCAGCATCTCTGGAGGGATGGTTCAGCTCCTGGTCTCCAGCTCATCAGAGCAGTCAGAGGGTTACCCGGTACAAAGTGTCACCCAGACCTCGCCCCCACATCTGTAGGAGCCTGGCTGGGAATCCCAATCTCGGCAGCTGGGTTTGGGTTACAAGAATGCACATTGTATTGGATCCATCACAAAGGCTTCTGTATTTTATGAAAGCAAATCAAAGTTGAATCTGCCTTTCCTACCCCAAACATGAATTCTAAATAAAGCCATGACATCATCACCGGGTCTCTGTGCTTCTCTACACAATGCCGGCTGGTACTCCTCTCAAGAGCCCTTGGTCCTGATGCAAGCAGTAGGTCTTAGATCTGGCTCTTGCGAGGAGTTCTGCAAATATCAAAATCCCTTGATGGGTGGAAGTCAGCTGGTGTGCCGTTCAGGCTGTATTTGTATGCAGACCGCCCTAGGTAATGCCCACATGTGATGCTGAACCTCTATGATTCAAAGAAGTGAAATTAATTGAGTGAAGGGGCGGGTCAGGGACGTCTGCTGAAAGGTGTCTTTCTCATTGCATAAGTAGGGATGAGCTCCAGTATGGACCAAACCCAGTCCGAACCTGAGCTCCTACGAACATGGGAGGAGCTCCTCTGAATAAGGAAAAAAGCTTCTTCTGCTGCCGCAGCTGGGTAGGATGCAGGGACACTATTGACCTTATATGGCCACATGTCTATATTTGGTCAATTACCTTGATCTTTTATGGTCATGTCTATATTTGGTTAGTGACATTGACCTTATAAGGCCCCATGTCTATATTTGGTTAGTGACATTGACTTTATATGACCACATGTCTATATTTGGTCAGTGACATTGACCTTATAAGGCCACATGTCTATATTTGGTCAGTGACATTGACCTTATAAGGCCACATGTCTATATTTGGTCAGTGACATTGACCTTACATGGTCACATGTATATATTTGGTCAGTGACATTGACCTTATATGGCCACGTGTCTAGATTTGGTCAGTGACATTGATCTTATATGGCCACATGACTATATTGGGTCAGTGACCTTGACCTTACATGGCCACATGTCTATATTTGGTCAGTGACATTGACCTTATAAGGCCACATGTCTATATTTGGTCAATGACATTGACCTTATAAGGCCACATGTCTATATTTGGTCAGTGACATTGATCTTATATGGCCACATGACTATATATTGGGTCAGTGACCTTGACCTTACATGGCCACATGTCTATATTTGGTCAGTGACCTTGACCTTACATAGCCACATGTCTATATTTGGTCAGTGACATTGACCTTATTGGCCAAATAAAGTAAATTAGGTCAGCACAGACATCCCGCCCCTTTTTTTATGTGCAGCTGTGGGGCAGGGAATGCCCAGGACCACATCGGATTGGGTGCGTGGCCCCATGTACCTTTCAGGTTCAGAAGAGCTCAGGTTCAGACCGAGTTCAGTCCAAACCTGAGCTCATCCCTACATATGATCTTTACCATGATAATGTACTTTCAAAAGTCATTTTCAATATTATAAACCCCGCAGCTTTCATTAAAATAACACCTGACCATCCTGCTAAAATGGGTTCTTTTTCATTCACTTCCTGTTATGGGTGACAGCGCTCTGTCCCTGTCTCCCAGTTGTGCTCCTCCGATGTCACATGGGCTTGCGGTGAAGACTACAAGTGGCCATTTAAACACACATTACGCAGACATGGTTCACTTTTGTCCAGAAACCCACCCTAAGGAATGCTGTGCAACAAAAACCCACCCTAAGGAATGCTGTGCAACAATGGCTGGAATCCATGTAGACAGGAAGCGACTTTAAAGAGGCTACAGGAGACCTGCAGCACTGAGATGCAACAAAGGATGAAAAAAAGTCCATTATCTCTGTGTGTATAGTCATCAGTAGAAGAGGATCGTTCAATCTGGTTGTACACAAGTCATGTTGGTAGAATTGGTCCTTGTGACATCAGTGGGTACATGGCCTATAACCCAGCCCTGGGCACATGTATTCCCAGGTACTCATGGGCACACAAGAGCTCAGTCATTGAATTTGCATGCTGTATGCAGGGCCAGGGCTTTGTGTGCACAGATGATGGGGGTGAGAGCTGGGTGTGTAGTGCTACTTTTCAGCAAGCAGTGTGAGAAAGTTGGAATCCTTCCCTCCCTCCCTTCCTCTGTCCCCTCCCTTCCCTTTGCTCCCAGCACAGGCAGGTGCAAGGGGAGGGGGGCGGCCCCTTTAAGGGGACCTGCTGGGATCTGTACCGGGGGTAAGGGAGAAAGTTCACCGGAAGAAAAGGCAAAGGGAAGGGAAGGCAGAGGGCTGGCACAGAAGGTGAACTGGCACACAGGGAGAGCCCAGGGCAGAGGAAATGAAGGAGAGGGGCAGACAGTGATGTGGGTGGGACGGTCATACAGTGAATGCTCAGGGGGAGGGTCTGACATAGAGGGACAGAGGGAGGAGAGGGACACGGGGATCACTCAGGTCTACTGCTGCAGGAGGTGACACGGATCTCTCTACGAGGAGGAAGCGATCGTTCACCTGTCCGGGGATTGGGATTTATGGACTGATCGCTGAGATTGTGGGATCGTACAGACGGGAGATCGGTGTGAGTGTGGTCGGGGACAGAAGATGATGATCGCGGGGCTTCTCGTGCTGGCTCTGTGCCCGGCGTGCTTAGGATTCAATGTGGACACCCAGGTGCCCGTCATCAAGCAGGCGGGGGTACCGGGGGGCATGTTCGGCTTCTCTGTGACCATGCACCAGCAGAGTGACGGCCAGCAGCGATACCTGTAAGTACCCCAGGGGGGTAATAATGAGATATCTGGGTACATGGCAGTGTGGGCACAGGGCATGGCAAGAGTACCTGAAGACCAATGGCACATCGGCTAAATACCCAAGGGATATAGTCAGTTTATATGTATAGCTATAGGACATGGGGAGGGTACCTGTAGATCAATAGGGTATGGGCAGGGTAACTGTAGATTAATGGGGTATGGGGAGGGTACCTGTAGATCAATGGGGTATGGGCAGGGTAACTGTAGATTAATAGGGTATGGGCAGGGTAACTGTAGATTAATGAGGTATGGGGAGGGTACCTGTAGATCAATGGGGTATGGGCAGGGTAACAGTAGATCAATGGAGAATGGGCAGGGTAACTGTAGATTAATGGGGTATGGGCAGGGTAACTGTAGATTAATGGGGTATGGGCAGGGTAACTGTAGATTAATGGGGTATGGGCAGGGTAACTGTAGATTAATGAGGTATGGGGAGGGTACCTGTAGATCAATGGGGTATGGGCAGGGTAACAGTAGATCAATGGAGAATGGGCAGGGTACCTGTACAGCTATGGGACATGGGCAGAGTACCGATAGAAACATATCACATTTGCAGAACACCTGTACAGCTATGACACGTGGGCTGAATATCTTTACAGCTAAGGGATATAGTCACAATACCTGTACAGCTGTATGATATTGGTAGGGTGCCTGCTATAAGACATGGGCGGGGTACCTGTAGATAAATGGGGCATGGGCAGGGTACCCTTACAACTATACGATATAGGCAGGGTACCTGTAGAGCAGTGGGCTATGTGCATGGGTACCTGTAGAGCAGTGGGCTATGTGCATGGGTACCTGTAGAGCAGTGGGACATGGGCAGAGTGCCTGTAGAGCAGGGTACCTGTGGATAAGTGGATCATGGGCAGGGGTACCTGTAGAGCAGTGGGCTATGGGCAGTGTACATTTAGAGCCGTGGGTCATGGGTATCGGTAACTGTAGAGCAGTGGGATATGGGCAGGGTACCTGTAGAGCAGTAAGACATGGGCAGCGTACCTGTAGAGCAGTGAGATATGGTACCTGTAGAGCAGTAATGCATGAGCAGGGTACCTGTAGAGCAGTGGGACATGGACATGGGCTGGGTAGCTGTAGAGCAGTGGGACATGGGCAGGGTACCTGTAGAACAGTAAGACAAGGACAGAGTACCTGTAGAGCAGTGGGACAGGGGCAGAGTACCTGTAGAGCAGTGGGACATGGGCAGGGTACCTGTAGAGCAGTGGGACATGGACATGGACAGAGTACCTGTAGAGCAGTGGGACATGGGCAGGGTACCTGTAGAGCAGTAAGACAAGGACAGAGTACCTGTAGAGCAGTGGGACATGGACATGGGCTGGGTACCTGTAGAGCAGTGGGACATGGGCAGTGTACCTGTAGAGCAGTGGGACATGGGCAGGGTACCTGTAGAGCAGTAAGACAAGGACAGAGTACCTGTAGAGCAGTGGGACATGGGCAGGGTACCTGTAGAGCAGCAAAGCAAGGACAGAGTGCCTGTAGAGCAGTGGGACATGGGCATGGGTACCTCTAAAGCTAGGGAAGCTCTATCCAAGACAGGGTTGGGGGACAGGCTTGTTGTAAAGATCTGTTGAATATCTGCTTGTCATTTCTGTCATTGTTTATTGTTTCTCCAATTTCTACAAATGGGAAACCTCTGATGTCCTCATTCAGTGAAGTAGTAAAGTAGACAAGTACACAGAGTGGTGAAATCCCATTGTAGTTGAGTGAAAAGACAAAATGGAATAAATAACACCCCACCTTGACCAAGGTTCATGTTCCCTCCATGGACAATAGTGGGTGGCAGGCGGATTTCACTACCTTTAAAGTCGGCTGTTCTGCACAATATATTCTGCTATTATTTTTCCTGTGGTCAACACATTGTAAACATGAATAAAGGAAGTCCCAGAACAGCTAACAAGTGGCCATTATTTTCAGAAGCGGTAACTTCAGAAAAGTCATTTCGTCTCTTCATCCGTAGGCCCCGGACGTTCGTGGATAGAACACAATTAGCACTGGTCATAAGTGTGAATCTGTATAACTGGGCAACATAGGAAGGAGAACATGTATAGCTGGGGAGCATAGGAAGGAGAACCTGCATAGCTGGGGAACATAGACATATGATAAAGTGGACCTGTCATTAAGTCATATCAACCAATACAATACATGTCAGCATTATAAAATCTGCCACCAGCGAGTTCTTACCATAGCCAGCCTAGATCACATGGTCTCCAGCTACCAATCATTAATGTGACAAGTCTAGTTTCTTCAATTGCCTCCAAGATAAGAGGATCAAAGGGCTGTCCCCACATACATAGATGATTACAAACTACACAGCAACAAGGTCTATAACACATTACTGTGATAAGACTGTTTACATGATGTTGATGTCTTTACCTTATGTATCTAAGAGCTATTGAAGAGGCTATAGTCCCCCTTTTAAAGCACATCTGTCTGCCTGTGGACTTAGACAAAGATACTTGTGTATTGTAAAGTAGAATTCCAGCCAAAATGTTTTTGCTCATGTTAGATAGGGCAAGGAAGAGTTAGAAGCTCTGCCAGGTTTTGATTGGGGAGATTCACTGGTGCCATTTGTCCTGGTGGCCTTTGTCATCAGGACAGGAAAAAAGAATAAATCTAATATTTTACAGGAGGAAGGGATACCTTGTAATGGGGACTCCTGTTCTGGTGACAATTGCTAAAACAGAGATTTCTCCTCCATTTTGGGGATGTTTCTTATTAATTCCAGTCATGTTGCTAGTGCAGGAAGTGAAGGGAACTCTCCCTGATGGAGACGGCGAAAAAACAGATTACCTAATGCCTACTCTATCCAACTGGGCAGATGGGGAATGGGCAGAACAGGGTAACTGGGCAGATGTGAACTTGGGTAGAAGTACCAGTACACTGAGGGAGTACAGTATTGTAATGCTCACAGTATGGCATCATATATCTACTAAACTATATGACCAAATGTTTATGGACACCTGACCACCACGTCTACAATATATGGCCAAAGGTATGTGTAAGACCCTTAACCTTTAGGTTTATCCAGTGAAGGATACACTTAATGCTAGAGCATACAAAGACATTGTAGACAAATGTGGGCCCTTTTCTATTCTAGCATGAGTTTGTCCCTGTGCAAAAAGCTAGCTCCATAAAGACATGGCTTTTAATGAGTAGGTGAGGAGGGGCTTCAGTGTCCTACACAGAGCCTTGACCTCGACCCTACTGAACACCTTTGAGATGAATTGGAATGCCAGCTGTGATCCAGATCTTCTCATCCAACACCAATACCTGAGCTCACAATGCTTATTTGGTTGAGTATGGCACAAATTCCTACAAATACCCTCCACAAACCTTGTGGAAGGCCTTCTGAGAAGAGGGAAGGCTGTTATAGCTGCAAAGAGTTGGACTCCATTAATGGCCATGGTTTTGCATTGGATGTCTAACAAGCTCATAGATGTGATGGTCGGATGGCCACAAACATTAACATATGATGTACTTTTGCATGTTTCTAGCTACATAGAAGAAGAGCATTTGATACTCTGCAAGTGGGAACAGAAATACATTGGTATACTCAGAGCTTCTCTACAAATAATAGCAAATCGAGGAGTAAAGTCGTGATTCCTCCACCAGTTGGGAACATAGGACTAAGACATGTCCTTGAATTAGGATTATCCTTCCAATTTGGAACACAGACCAGGGTAAACCTGGGGTGGACAAATCAATATCGATATCAGGAGCCAGTCTGTCTAGTCCAGGAGCCAGTAGGGTATTTTTTAGAAGCCAGCTCCATTGACAACTAGAGAAAGCCTCAAACGTTAGGCACCGGCTGTAACTTTTAAGAAGCAGTGGCGACCTGGCTCCTGGAATCTGTCCAGCCCTGGGGGGTAAAACCTTTACAAGTGGTAGCCATAGGCCATGGATTGTTGAAGTTTGTCTACAAGTGAAAGACATTAGTCATTGTAGATCTGCAGTCCCTCTCTAAGCACAGGACCTACAAAGTGTTATCACTGAGTAAAAGCATAAGTATGTGTTCTGGGGTCAGAGGTTAGAAGAGGTTATATGGCTTCAATGGTTCATATGAATAACATAATTGGCATGTCTGTGTACCACAGTGGAGGCTATGGGGCAGAGGTTGTCAACTTACCAGGTATAGGGAGCCTCATCTGTGGCCCCTGACATCACCAAAGGGCATACTGTTCAATATATGTAATACTACAGACGTACAGGAGGTGTTCAGGGACTGTGGACATGCTACAGGTGTGGTTGGAGACTGTAGGCATGATGCAGGACACAGAAAGTCTCTGGTGACATGTTACAAAAGCCTGCTGGAGATCACTACAATTGATATCCTTTACAAATCAATGATCCCATTACTGACTGCTGGGGTCCGAAGTACCAAAGGGCCCCAGGTAATGTTCACTATGTGTAATACTATAGAAAACTGGCTTTGGACATACCACATGAGGTGGTCAGAGACTGTGGACATGCTACAGGTGTGGTTGGAGACTGTAGACATGGTACAGGACATGGACAGCTTTTGGTAACATGTTACAAGAGACTAGAGAGATCACTACCATTGATTCCCTTTACAAATCAACGCTCCCATTACTGACTGCTGGGGTCCGAAGTACCAAAGGGCCGCATGTGGCCCTTGAACCACAGGTTGGTCACCAGGGCCACAGGGTGTATCCTGCTTCTTACGTGCGAGCACATAAGCAATCTGACAAGCGAGCCCAGTTCAGGAATTTGTGAGCAATATAAATCACAAGTAACAGGTTAAGGAGGAGACAGATTAATCGAGGTGTGCTCCTGTAAACATGGCTGCCCTGCAGGCCTTTGTCCTTCAAGGGTGGCAGACTTCTGACCAATAAAGTTTAATTGAGCATGGTCAAGAAGCTGTTAGTGGCCATGATTTGTCTGGGCAGGTTTATGTCAGTGATATTGTGTGCAGGAGGAAG